CACCTAGATAGTTCACCAACAAGTATGCTAGGTGCTGTTGAAAACCTGGTTAAAGGTGCGACTACTATTGCGCATGAGTTGGTGTTAGTCAAGAAACGGGTCTCTGAGCTTGAAGCAGCGAATGAAGCCGCCACGCGAAGGAGATCACACAAAAGAAAGCGGCTACAGAAAGGAGAGACCCTAACGATTGAAGAAGGAGAGAAACTGGCAACTCTAAAGGAGTCTGGGGCGCGTGGTAGTGGGAAGAAGGCAAAGAAGGGAGAGAGCGCTGAAGTAGGCGAACCGTCGCAAAGGCGCTGTAGACGCTGCGGTGAGACTGGACACAACTCGCGCACCTGCAAGCAAGATGAAGAGGTTGATTCTGAATAGATTAGCCTTTTCTAATTTCAATTTACTGTTGTTGTTGCGCTGTAATGGTTGCGCAACGGTGGTGAGGTTGATGGGGGCTTGGCATTTTCGGTCACTCGCTATTCTCGGCCACTCGCTATACTTTGACGTTAAAAGAAATGTGAAATGAGTTATGATACAAGATTTCCATGTGCTGTGATTTACGGATAGACAAGTGGAACATGACTGAACATGACTAACAGTATTCACGGTTGATTCACTCATTCATTGATTCATTGATTGTCATGATAGCTTGTGGCATTAACCAAATATCTGCCAAGGACGCTGCATGTTCCCTAGGGTAGACTTTGGATGTGGTCAAAGAGGAAAACAAGAGTAGCAAGAAGAGACACTGAACACGACACTAAGTAACAGGAAGGAGAGAGAGAGAGAGAGAGAGAGAGAAGGAGAGGAATAAATGCAACACGAAACAGGCCCCATACACCCCAGACGCACAAAATCCATTACCATAAACCTTCGTTGCTAGTAGCCATGGTCCGTCATCCATTGCATTGCATGGCTGTTCATGTATCATACGCTCTAACCATCCACGTAAGTCGTCGTCTTCGTCAAGGATCAATTGAGAGGAAAGGCTCAAAGAAAAAAACAAGAGAGAGGAGACGTCATTACGCTCCTAGAGCAACAAAATAGTACACTGCAAGCGCACCACCAAGTAAGAGGGCCGAAGCACTGCCAAAACCATATTAGCGCACGGCTCATTCAACAGAAAAGGTTACTGCTCACCTAGCCACTTTCCGATCCCCAACACAGGCAGTCAGCAGGCGGCTTATGCCAGAAGCTTTGGGCGAGGCTTCCTGGCGCTTCTCAGACTGCGGTGCAAGTGCCGAAGATGGTATCGTGTTGGCAATCTTTTCCTTGGTCGTCGTCGTCGTGGTACCTTCGTCAGTAGTGCGTGGCGCATCTGATTTCTGTGCGGGTTCCTCGGCAAGACCTTTGCGTTGTCGAAGCTGCGAATCTGAAATGGGTTCTGAGTGAGTTTCCTCACTCGTTGCATTGAGACTAGGTTTGACTGGGGCTGCTGCGGTCTCGTTTGGCATGGAGATGGCGTCGTGCAAAGCACTGGCTGGCTCTGGCACGTCCTTGGCACCGTCGTGACCGTTAATGTCGTTCGCTTCGCCACTAGGTTCCCTTGCATGGTCTTTTGTTTGTATGGCATCATCAAGCCGCTTGCTTGCGTCGGTCACGGGGGTTGCATGAGGGTCACGTGCGAATGCGGATGGCGAGTTAGACATACGGAGCATGTGCCTACCAATGTAGACGGGCGAAGGAATGCTGTCAAGGTCATGACGGTCCTCGTCCTCGTCCTCATCACTGTCATCTGCTTCCGGTACAGACGCCAACGATGTATACGACTTGACCGGTACAAGGTCGACAGAAGAACACGCTTGCGAGAAGACAGACGGCTGAGGAGAATGGGGATGACCGTGTCTTGTCTCGTCTTCAGGTAGATTTACTCCAATGGTTGCCACGCGCTGCAGAATCTGGTCGCGGTTGGTGGGGAAGCGCTCCAAGGACGGGTCGTTCAGGTCGTCGTCTTCAGCATCGGATCGCGGCAACCTATGCGGCAGACTGCTGTTTGTCCGTGGCCTGAAGAAATCATGTCGTGCAGTCCCGCCAAAGAGATTCTTCGCACTGTCAGTCTCATAGCCAAAGGTAGTCTGCTTTTCCAATGAGAACGGAGAATCTTCGTGTCCAGAGTCGGAGCCTGTGTTATTGGCAACGGCCGCCTCACGTTCATGGGGGAGGAGAGGCGCATCATCACCGGGTCCCGCAGGATGGTCGTCAGATTCCCCATCGTCATGGTAAGGGCCATAATGCTGCGGCTCTTCTTCCTGGGTGTAATCACTCTTAGTTACAATCTCGCTTCCCTTATAATCCGAGAAACCACTTTCGTGTGCCAGTAGGGGAAATCGGTCCAGCTCGTCCACTCCATCAGAGTCGGTTGTAACAGCGGTGTCATCGGGCAGATTGGTCTCGTGGGAGAAGAGCGGGGTTTGGTGGGCAGGATGGGCCTCAGGCTCGGCTTCGTGAGCGAACAGTGGTCCGTTTGCAAGCTCGCGCGTCTCTTGGCCCAATCCGGTCTCGTGGCTGAGCAGAGGCATTATGTTGAGCTCGTCGCCTTCATCGCCTTCATCGCCGTCGTCCAGCTCAGATGGAGTATCCATGGCATCTCCCGAGCTAGTTTGATCTGCTGAAGAGAGCGTAGACTCCTCGTCAATGGTGTCCATGGAAGGTGCCGATGGCGGCTCCTCGGACTGGAAAGATTCGTGACGGAACAAGGGGGATGCTTGCTCTTGGTCTGCGCTGGGCTCGACGTGAGGAGGCTCAACGTGCTGGTCGGGCACAAGATTGACCTTGTCGGGGGATGCGTCGGCAGCTCTCATGTCACGCGCAACCTTTTGGGCTGCCGTAGCGTCCTTGCTAGACTGCTCGGGCATGTCATCCACCTTATCAAGCACGACAAGCGGGACAGCAGGCGGCTGCAAAGTGTCGGGCTCGACGGGCGAATCCACATTGCTGGCTTGCTCAGGCTTGGGCGTCGTGTGGGCTGCGATGTCGGGCAGCTGGTCCTGGTCCATGGTGCTGTCTTTGCGGCTTTCGAGGCGCTTGGAAAGGGGCTCGTGTGAAATTGGCGCAGGCGGGTTGGTTGGAGCAGCATCTGGTATCGGGGGCTGCTCGGTGGCGTCGTGGGCAGGCTCGACGTGGATCACGTTGTTGTGGATGCCTTGATCGTCGGCGGCTATCACATGTCAGCGGGGGAGGCACGGCGAGCATGGCAGCAGTCGTACCCGTCTCCTTGGACTCGTCCAGGAGCCAATGGTCCTGGCCCAGACGGACCTTGTACTGGTAGCTGCCATAGGACACGTTGCCAAACGTCTTTGTGAAGACGACATGGCCGTCGGGAGACTTTTCTGGGGCGACGTCCATCTCAAGCGGGGTCCAGCCGCTAAGAGCTGAGGTGACATAGACAGGCGGCTGCACGCCGGGCCGCGAGAAGGTGATGGTCGCGCTGGTGGCCATGGCGGCCAGGTCGGGGACGGCGGCGGGCGTGGAATAGGGTAGGATCTGTTGCGAGAGCAATAAGGTTGGAGACGAGGGGAGATGACGGGAGCGGGCAGGCCGCAATGGGTCGAGGGCGAGGGAATGCGAGTGGTGTGCTCTCGCTCATGCAGTGGCGCGAGGAGGGGCGAGAGAGGGGCAGGGAGGGGGTTGGCAGGCAATATGGCCATGGCAGGCGCGGGCGGGCGATGGCGGCCTGCAGGGGAAACTGTTGAGCTGATGGGCCGCGGCTGTGGCAGTGGCAGAGGGGAGCACCTGCCTCAGGCGCGGTCGCACCTGCTGCTCGCCCGCAGGTGAGGAAGGAGCGGCGCGGCTTGTTGGGTCGCGCCTTCCCTGCACATGGCTGTGTGTGTATGCGGGCCTGTCTTCGTCGTCGTCTTCTTCGCCGTCGCCGTCGCCGTCGCCGGTGCATCCAGTCGTAGCCAAGGCTCCATCTCTTTGCTGCCAACTCCCACGCCCGCTACTGCTGCTAGCTTCTTCATGTCTCCGAGAGTGACGTGAGAGCAACGTCTGGCGAGCCTCAGCAGCAGCAAGACCCGCCACCGCGGCCTCGTCAGCCACGCGTAGCCTGATCAGGCTTCCCCCGCACTGATCCTCCGCATCCAGCCTCTGCTATACACACGCCCTTATATGTGTATATATATATATACATGTATGCTTCACTGCCGCCGCCGCCGCATGCTTCCCGCCCTCGCCCGATTTGGCCTTGCTCGTGTCTATTCTTGTCTCCGGCCTCCTCTCCTCTGGTTCACCCGCCCTCCCAACTCCTTTATCCACCTCGCTGCTCCTCGTGGATCCGCCGACGACTCGGCCCGGCTCCTCCTTTTCTCGTTTTTTTCGCGCCCGCCCTTGCTTGCCCTAGGCCCCCGTACCCACCCCTTTCGCAACACCAAGACGCATTACAATATACGGGGTGGAAAGCTCCGCCCAGCGCTGTCGCCTCGCCTGCTTGCAATGTCCGAAGGCCAAGCAAGCCGCCTCTTCGCGCCGTATCCGACGACAGGCCTCTTGGTCATGTGTAGACCCTCGATGGCCAACGGCACGGATGCCGGGAACCTGTAGGAGTCTCTGGCCTCAGGTACCTGTGGCTCCGCCGAGCCTGTGTGGACTGCGTGTTTTGGGGGGGGGGGGAGGAGGTTGTCGAGTGGCGAGGCTGGGCTGAGTAATTGCATGAGCTGGGCCCGTGGTACTCTGCTGGTGATGTGCATAAACTAGCACTTGTACGTCTCAAAGGTGACGGAGTGACAGCGGAAATTAACAGATCCAGGTCACGTGGCACATCCTTGGCCGGGTAGGTATCGCGCGTGGCTGCACTGTCGCCGCATGCTATACAATTTTTAGCCTAGCCACGCTGCCATGGAGGGGGTCGGAGGGGATTGGAGGGGATTGGAGTTGCTCGTCGTCCAGGTACCTGCAACGCGCAGGGCGCGGACTAGATGAGGGCGTGCCCATGGAGACGACCAACGTGCAAGAATGGCGATACGAGGTCCTGATTAGCTGTGCACGGGCGAGAAGCCAAACACTCACACTGTGCTCTTCTCACCCACGCCGGCTGACGGTGCCAAACTCTCGGCGAACAAGGTTTCAAAAAGGGCGTTGCGACGGGTCTCGTCACACGATCACATCTCACCACGCCAAATTTCGCGAGTGGAGAACGGGCCGCGTGTCTCCATCCGCCGCGCTATTTGGCATGCTTCTCGAAGTCGATATTGTGTCTCAAGTACCGCCGTGTCTGTCATGCCGCCAGAATTTTGTGCAAGGCCCTGATTGAATGTGTCGCACTCGCAGTGTCGCACGCCTCTTGCCTGCACACTCACGTCCCGTATTAGACCTGTCTGGCACCCGTCAGTGCCGTCTCCCGTCGTGCTGATCGCCCGTTTTTTTCCTTTTTCTTCTTTTGTTGCTCTCTTGTTCCTACTCTTGTCTCTCGCTTGGATCCTTGCAACATTTGGCTCTGTTGCCTCTTCTTCATAACCCCATGTCCGGACTTCCGAATCTGTCCCCTTCACTTACCTTCTGTACACGCAATGGGGCACATCGTGTTTGCCACGGGGCGTGACCAAGGCCCGCTCTTGGCTCGAGTAAGTATGGCCATGTACACGGTCGCCGTGACGTTTGTGGCTCTCCGGTACGTAGCGGTAGCCTTTGTTGGTCCAGGGCGCGTCCATACTAACCACCATGGCCGTTAGCTGTTTCACACGTGCATGCATTGTCAAGAAGTTTGGCCTCGACGACTTCTTCATCGCCATCGCCACCACGCTCGGTGCTGCCCAGACCGTCACCATCATCCTGCAAGTCGAGCATGGCCAAGGCCGCCATGCCGCCGACCTGCACATTGAGCAGTTTAATCATATGCTCATGGTAAGCTGAATACCCAGCATTCTACCAACATGGAGAGCTGACAGGGATGCAGTACCAGTGGATTAATATGCTCATATACTTTGTCGCCAACTGGTATGCGTCCTTGTACACACGGGGCCGCGTGCCGTTGCTAACATGACCACAGGGCGGTCAAGATGAGCATCCTCGCCCTGTACTACAGAGTGGGCTATGGGAAACAGGGCCTCCCGTGGATCGTGCAAGCGCCTGCTGTCTGGACTGTAGCGGGTTTCATGACGGCATTCGCCATTTCGTCATTCATGGTGAGCTACCGCCGTGTACAGCCGTAGTCCGACCATGCACTAACTGTGTCGTGGTGTAGGCCCAACTCTTTCTGTGTGTACCCCTGCCTCGCATCTGGGATATCATGAGTGTGGCCGATGGGGGATGCATCGACGTGGCCCGGTTCATGACCATTTCCGGGGCAATCAACGTCTGTACCGACGTGATTCTTCTCCTCTTCCCACTACCGCTTCTACGACTGTTCAAATTCAACCGGAGACAACGCAGTATGTCTATTGTACTTTGGTCTTGCATTTCACGCGGTAGCTGACATGCGGGTATAGCCGCTCTAGCAGTCATCATCTCCGTCGGCTTTATCCCCGTCATCGCCAGCACCATGCGCCTCTGCGAAATCATCATGGCGGGCCGGCCCGTCAAACCGGGCAGCAGCTGGGAGGAAACCGATTTCAGCTGGTACGTGTGGTGTTCCGTGTTCAGTTTGCCATGGGTTTCTAACATACGACGATAGGGGCTGGGCGTGGGTCCCTGTATGGTCTCAAATCGAAGTCGACATCAGCATCCTCGCCGCCTCTCTTCCCTGTCTCTCGCCCTTGTTTAAGCACGTGTTCAACTGTCCCATCCGCCCGGAAACACCCTCGGAGATACCGACATTACCTGGCTACCGCGAGAGCTGGCGCGAAATAGACGACAATATAGATTTGGAGAAGAGCCGGAGTTTTGAACTAGATCCCGAGAAGCGGCTGACGGTGCGAGAAACGGAAATGGGCAAGGGCATGGGTATTAATATTAGTGTGATCGAGGACAAGTTCATGGACATGGGCTTGGGCATGGGTATGCATCATTACGACGAGGGGCTGTCGGATGTTGCCGAAGAAGAGGAGGAAGAGGACGACGAGGACGAGCAGAAGACGGACACAGGGCGAAAAAGCATGAGCGTGGCGAGGCCGGCCGACGTGCAAGTGGCTGCTGCAGCTGCTACTCCAGGAGGACGTGAAGCAGAACCTGGCGTAATACAATATACCAAATTATGACAATAATTGCCTTGAAGACCAAAAAAAAGAAAGACGAAGAAGAAAAAAAAAGCCGTAAAAAGATTCAGTAACAATGTTTAGTAGTGTAATACACCGGGGGTGGGGGAACACGTACAGAAGGGGACGGGGGCAGGTTCTTCGATTCGTTCCGGCTGGATCATTATTACCATTACATAGAATACGTTTGCTTTTTAATGCTGTATGTATACAAAATGCTAGCTTAGCTCCCATACAAGGCGGGCGGGCGGGGCTTGGCAACGGCCACTAGTTCCCGCTTGTACCAAGCACAGCATGATTCTTCCTACCACTACCACCACGACTAGCATTTCCCCAGGCTGTTCAAGGCGGCGCCAAACTGGCTTGCTACGTCACCGTCAGTTTCGCATTGTTCTTTTGGTCTCTCTGTTACTCTCGCATCATGACAATTCCACAAAGGTCAAACCTACCATGCTGAGTCGTGGCGAAACACTGGCTCGCCTCTGCTTTGCGCATGGCCTGAGGCAGCCACTCTCGTATCTTTTCCTCGCGGTTGTGGTGGCTGGGATGCGTGCTCAGTAGCTGCGGGGGCCCCGCGCCCCCCGCTCTCTCCATGCGCGCCCACAGCTGCATGGCCGCCTCGGGCTTGTAGCAGCCCTGCGCCATCATCATCAGCCCAATGTAGTCGGCTTCGGCCTCGTGCTTGCGCGACGCCGGCATCGACAGGAACACGTCGATGAGCAGCTTGCCCGAGTACAGCGACATGTCGAAGAGGGAGAGGAGGACGACGCCCAGCAGGACGAGGGGCGCTTGCGACATGCGTTCGCTGCGTGGTATGTGTTAGCATCACTCTTGTTGTTCTTTTGCTAAATCGTCGTCCTCTTGTTCTTCTTCTTCGTCTTCGTCTCCGTCTTCGTCTTCGCCTGCTATATATAAATCCCGAAAAGGAAATGAAAGGGGAAGAACAAACGCAGTATGGTGCGCCACGACATGGGCAATCTCGTGGCCCAGCACCGCAGCCACGCCATCTTCATCGCGACACAGCGGCAGCATCCCCGTGAAAACAAACACCTTGCCGCCCGGCGCCACAAACGCATTCTGCTCGGGGCTCTCAATCACCGCCACCTCCCAGTCAAGGCCCTGCAGGCCCTCGCCCTCTGCGTACGGGAGCAGGCGCTCCAGCACCCGCTTGACGAGCTGCACCCGCCCATCGCTCTCCGGCAGGATGCGCCCGCGGTACTGCTGGCGCACCTGCTCGACCGACGACTGGCCGAGCGCCTCTTCGAGCTGCGCGGGGATGATGTTGAAGCGGCGGCGACCTGACACGGGCACTTCTTCCAAGTTGTACAGGTAGAAACCCCCCGCGCCCGCGCTCAGCAGCCCCACGTCGCGGTAGAATGTCGGGCGCGCCGCCCAGCGATACAGAAAGCCCGTGAGACCGCCCGAGGGGCTCGAGAAGCGCTTGTATTGCGGCCGAGCATTACTGCCGCCGAACGGGAGTTGCTGGTAGAAACGCGACTGCGCCGGGCGTCGTGGCTGCTGCAGCGGCTGGAACATGCGGGGCGATATGCGCAGGGGCGGCCGTATTCGATACATGGTCTCAGCAGCAGGGCGTGTGGACCGAGGTGGTTGGGTGGGTGAATGGGAGAGTGGGTGGTTGCTGTGGCTCAGCCGAGGTGTCGCGAGGTGTCGCGGGATGACGTGCATTGAAGGGCTGGCCGCCGCGGGAATGCCAAGGCCACCACCTGCGGCGTCTGAGCTGCCCCCTTTGTGATGCCTTTGCCCTTCAGCCATGTTTCGGCAGGCCACGTGAGGTTTCGGCGCGTTCTCGATCCCTCGGTGAGTTGCTGACTTGTTTGAAATCAACACTCCAGAAGACGTGCCATGAGTAATTCGCCTACGTACCGTTTGGCTTGGTACGTGTCTCCCCCCGTGTGCCAAACTTGGGCTGAGCATCGCTAAGTGGAGGGTCCAGACAATGGGTCTCTCGATACCAATACTGGCGGGTACAGCGTGTTCTGATAGTATTGCAGGGATATCATGGATCAAGTCCACGGGAAAAACAAGGCCATTGCAGGATAACCCAGACATTCTGTATTCTGTAACTCATTGACTACAACTGTGCAACTAACAAGCCCCTCCGCTTTCCCCTCTCGTCTCATTTACATGTACGCGTACTCAACGTGCACCTTGAGGACACACGCCTCGTACTTGATGGGCTCAGGAAGGGGAGCAACGACAACGGGGGAAGTTGGCTGAGGAGCGCCGCCAACGGGGTAGCCGCCGCCGTAGGATGCGTCCTTGGTTGGGCTAGGGACCGGGGTGCCCGAGACGCTGGCAGTCAAGCTGTATACAGGAGTGGCTGAGACAGTGGCAGTGTACAGAGGGGTCGAGGCGCTGGCCGACGAAGCGGGCACGCTGGACGAAGGAGCAGGGACCGAAGACGAGCTGGAGGCGCCGCAGAGAGGCGCAGTGTTGGCGATCTTGGAGACGACCCACGACGAGGCGTCGTCGGTGTACAGCTCAAAGTAGTTGAGGTGGTCGGCCACGATGCTGCCACCAGCGCAAACTGGGTCGCCAGCCGCGCAGTAGGAGCGGAGCACAGGAGCATAGCGGTTCAGACGAGCGAGATCACCAGCCGAACGCGGGTTCTTCTGCTTGCTGGCGCCGTCGAGAACGTTGTACGGCTGGTTGGCCGTGTGCATGACGTCTCCCCAGAGGAGGGCCGCAGCAACTATCTTCAGTCAGCACTGCACCGAAACTCGTCTTCTTCACATCAAGATTGTTATACGTACTGGCCTTGCCGGCGGGCGAAGTGCTGTCCAGGCCGTTGGACACAAACGTGCAGCCACCCGGTCCACCAAGCACATCACCGACGACGTGTGCGCCCTCGGAGTAGCCATTGACGACAATGTGCGTGCAAGGGCACTTTTGCTGGAACGCAGTAATCTGCGAGATGCCGTTGCGGGCGCCCTCTGCAACCTGGGCGCAGTAGTCTCCGCCGAGCGTGACGTCGAACTGGATGTCCATGTAGTCGCAAGTCTTGCCCTCGGCCGTCAACTTGCCGCACGTGGCCTCGACAAAGGGGAACGTCCGCCCGTCGTGGTACGGCGCATCGTTGCCGCGGGCCATGAAGATGACTACATCGGCGCAGGGAGCGTCGAGCTTGGGAGGCGTGGTTTGCGCCGCGGCGAGGGCGGAGAGGGCGCCCAGAGCGAGCGTGTTGCGGATGCTGAAGGACATCATTACGTATTAAATGTATATAAGTATATTTTTTTTTCTCTTTGCGTTTTCTTTGCTCCTCCCTTCTTATCGACTGCTGCTTTGAGAAACCCCCCGGTGGGACATCATGAGCTGCGGCTGTCGACATCCGCTAGGCAAACTGGTGGGCCCCTCCGGGGGGGGGGGAGGGGGGGGTGCCATGCAGGGCAAAGGGGAATATGTAGGATCAGGATAGCAAATTGGCAGGCGACGCCATGCATTGGCTCGTATACGACGGCACACGCTGCGAAGGAAGGGAGAAAAAAAAAGACGCCATGTTTATTGTAAGCGAGATGGGGAGGGAGGGGAGGGGGGAAAAGATTCGGCCTTGCCAAGCACGCATGCAGCGGGCATGTAATTTCCCACTCGAAAGGGCCTCATCTATGTATAGTGTTTGAGCTCGTGGTTTTCAAAAAGGCGCCGGTGTCCCGTCCTGCCCTGCTGCGTTACTTGTGTGTTGCTTAACGATTACCCCAGGAAAATCTCCCTATCCACTCTTTTTTGTTATTGTTGTTGTTGTTTGGTATATCCCAACTACTATCAACCCACACTCGTTCATCATTAAGAAGCACTTGTTTCCAGTAGGGTTCATCCGCTAGCCCAGCAACGTTTCCCGTGTGTGAAAGCGGCAAAACTGCGTCCACCGGGTATATTCTGGGCATACTGTACTTTGTTCTTGCCCCACTCACTGCTTGGTAAGTAGGGGGGGGGAGGGGGATCCCGCTCTCTCTTGCACTTGGGCCTTGCTCGCCTGACTTGCTACTGCTATCTGGTGCCGCTTTGCCGCGGGGAGGAGGAAGAGACTCTCAGCTAGCACTACCACTACGGATCGTATAGAAATGGGGGGGGGGAGGCGCACAACACACAGGCGATTCTATCAATTTGGTGTATGTGTGTGTGTGTGTGGACCGCCGTCTCGTACCTACGGACATATGTGTTGCATCAGGAAATCGGTATCGAGAAAAAACCGTTTGTCACTGACTTACTTGCCTAACATACATTGTTCCGTAGGTCAATTGGCATTTCCACCTTCACACTAGCCAAGCCCAACCAACCCAGTAAACCCCCAGTAAACCCCATTGGCGAAAATTTAAAATACGACAATCCCCCCCCCGGGGCTTCTGCATTGTCTATGTAAGGTACACCCGCACCCTGGCAAACTAAACTGCCCCCCCCCCCTGCAACTGTGCCAGGTGTCTCTCTGCTTCGTAACAAGACAGCTGACCTCTGTTGGTGGGAAATCCCGCCGATAACATTTTGGGGTCCGGGATCGGGGTTAGCGTGTTGGTCATTTCCCGCTCTACGATCAACCTTATCTTGGTATATGGTCCGAGGATTTCTGCCTCCAAGCGCTGCTTAGTTGGTCCGTAGCTTCCGGTTAATCGACCTGCCAAACAGCGCATGTACTTGTTACATTGGTGAATCTGAGCCTGTAATCAAAATATACACGAGCTCTGTTGATATCGGGCCTCTCTAATCGACACTTGTGCACATGGCACAAACAGTGAGTGTACTAGCAATACGTCGACTCAGCAAGTGCTGCTCTCCGCCTCGTATTACTTTTGCCACCACTGAAAGAATATCGGCGCTGACCTAATCCCACAGAAGCCGATATGACAACCTACCCACAGGATCATCGGTAGATCTCAATCTTGATTGCTGCTTACAGAACTGACATGGTACATGTACGTAACTTGTCCAAGCTTGACAGGAGGAACAAAGAAAGAGGGGGGGGGAAAAATTCGCTACTCTAGTTTTTCATGCCCCTCCCTGATGGCCTGGCCGTAATCCCCCGCATTAGGTGTCCTCACAATGGTATGCGTATGGTACTTTGCAGGCTCCTTGTTGGTCAAGAAGACGCCAGAGTGGTGATCAAACTCGACTACAATCACGGGGCTCTGGATACGATAGTAGAACGCGTCATGGTTGCCAAAGCCACCGATCCAGCAGAAATATGTCTCGGTGAAATGCTGCCTAATCTGTTGGAGCTTGCGCTCACGGGCCTTGGAGGGGTGGTAGAGAAGAAACTCGTGGCATATGGATAAGACGAGCTCCTGCTGGGCGGAATTGAATGTGGAAACCGAAACGCCTTCGTATGGGACGATGCGATTGTCGCGAAAGGCACCGCAGCGATGACGCTGGTCGTCTGGCCCCCAGGTATCGGTGATGAGCTCATCCCGCTTACTCGCGTCGTTGTTGGACTTGCCGTAGACTTGCTTCATTCCCTCGTCTCTCAGGTTCTTGAAGATCTGCGCCTTTTGCTGCTGCTCGGTGTTCAAGCTCTGCATCAGCTCTAGGCCTAGATTGCCCTCTTTGTGAAGGATCTGGGTGCCCTTCCATTCGCCCTCGTCAATGATGTTTGGCTCTGCGCCAGTAAAAGATGGCGTCAGGACGACCTGGGACCCTTTGAAAAAGCATGTAATGTCGAGGTGATGGCCGTATATGAGCCAGCCCCATGGCGAAGAGGCCGAGGTAGAGGGCGTCCCGAACAAGAGAAAGTTGTACGAGTATTTGTTCATGATGTTGGGCAGCTTGACCACTTCTCCGAGGAAATGGCTGATACGCATAGCGGAGAGTGCCTTTTGGTGGCCCTCTGGTGATAGGGATGCCTCGACCACGGCAAGTATCGACTTTGCAGTGCTTTCGGGTACTATTCAAATCAGCCAGGCATACCATGTTTGACACATTCTTGGCTTACCTTCTTCCAGCCTGAGCCCGAATGGCCTAAGTAGGAACTCCGGGTTACTCCACGCGCGCCATTCTCTCGCATTGATAGGATACGATATCTTCTTCCTCTTCTCATCATCCAGGCCGCTCAGCAGCTCTTCGGCTTTTGCGACAGCAGCACCAACATCCGCGCCTTCATCCTGCGCTTTAAAAAGGCCTGATCTCACGTTGCCGTCATTGGTTAAGCCTTTGTACGGCTCCTCCAACAGCTTTTCCCATACTTTAGTCAAGTCGTGCAACCACGGCGGTGCGCGGTTATCCTGCATTGACTGGACATATTCGTAAACGTTTTGTTTTGCAGCCGTAGTGAAGCGCGGGCTGCTGAGATCTGGCAAACAGGCTCGAAAGCCAGCTGACGCTTGATCGAAAAAGCTTTGACCTTCCATGGTGTGTGTATGTGGAAGGGCTTCGCGCAGGCGATTTGCTTCTCTTAGACAACTGCCGGATGAAGTCTCTTCCTTGCTCTAAATATCGTGACGCGTGGCTAGGCCCCCTTGGGTCCGCGCTGCCCAGGGGTTTGTGTCGTGAACAAATGAGAGTATGAGCAGGAAAACACTACGACTGGCGAATCGTGGATAGTTGGTCGTACGATGGTTGGAGAATCTGATTCCCCGGTGGACGCAACAAGCCACCCCACATGCCTGCCACCTGGACCATTTAGCGCGGGGTTCCGGCCCCTCATTGCGTAGCCACAGGGTCGGTGTAAGCTTGTGGGTTCACGTCGAGCATACTGAATAGCTCATGGAGTAGCCATGGATGCTCATTACCTTGCGCCTGGTTGGTGGATGTGGTCATGTCACAGCTGCCGACCCGCTGTAAGTAACAGACTCCGGTACTTACTTAGTACATGTGCAAGATATCAGAAGCTCTCGTTTGCAACCAAACTGCACTGCTATAATGTTCCTGAATTTATTTGCTTGATTGATCAGACATGTCGGAACGGCGAGTATTTCCCAGGCCTTTCCGCATGACCAATCTCATCAGCAACCAAGAGTAGACGCAAAAGATTCTATGGCAGATTCGAAAGGCGGTGTGGACAGAGGAAATTGCCAACACCTTGAGAAGCCCACAACTTTATTAGATGGTACCTGGCGGGTTGATGCCAGTGGGTAATCCATCCAATAGTACTGCGAGCACGACTATATACAGCCAAGACTGTGGTAGGTAGTTGTATTCTCGTAAGATGGAGCGGCAGGTACGGTAGAAACTGTGCCCCGCATCATTGCGGACGTCCGAAGAAGCAACGAGCATCCATGGCTGTGTGGAGAGAAAGATGACGGCTGGGGCGGAGCGCGGCACCTGTGCTACGATGAATTGAAGCCGGAGAGGTTTCCGAGGCTGAGTTGGGATGGTGAGTGAATGGGAGCCAGCACCTGGTAGACGGCTCCAAAACACCCCGCAAATGCCGAGATGAGCTTTGTCCATGTGTCGGTGTCGGTATCAGTGTCAGCGGTGGGGCCAAGGACAAGAGGTAAGCTAGGCGCTGCCCCGCCCGCTGTGGGGTGTAGAGCTGATTGCAACAACAAATTCTAATACAAGTGCCTGGCATCCAGATAAATATCCAGTCCATCTTTATCAGCTGGCCCATTCTAATTACAGAAACTCGCCGATCCACAGTCATATATCCAACGTGGCGTTTCGCACTTTGCTAGCATACTGTACTACCAAGACCCCCGGCTAAGACATCACCCGGCGTTTTCCATATTAGGCGTGTAGGATAGCTCGGAGGTTGTGGGGGATTGTGGGGTGAACCTCGGACAGACAAGGACATCCAAATATCCTATAAGATCACGTGCCAGTAAGACGAGCAGACGGACATTACCACATCGTCGACCACGCCTGTTCTTGTGGCCATCTCAAGCGCTTCTTTGCACTCCAGCGCCACCGCCAACCGACTGCGTGTCGTTCCATTCAAGCTCTTCCAAAACACAAATCATGGCGGACCACCTGAGGATAGCCATTGTTGGCGCAGGTATGCTTCTCTCAATTCATGCACATGTTCAGATCAAATGGCTAATGGAGGCTCAGGCATGGGAGGCCTCGCCGCAGCTCTGTCTCTCGCAAAAGCCGGACATAAGAACATTACGATATATGAAAATGCACCCGGCATGGGCTTTGTAGGTGCAGGTATCCAGCTCGCACCAAACATGGCTCGTATCCTCGACCGACTAGACTGCTGGGGCCCCATCCGGGACGAAGCCGTCCAATGCGCAAACACATCGATTCGGGAGGGCCCAACAGACAAGGAGCTGGGATACGTAGACCTGGGCTACGTCAAGGAAAAGTATGGGTACCCACACATGGTTGGCCACCGAGCCAGTCTTGCCAATGGCTTGTATGAGGGCTGCAAGAAGGAGAGCGGCATTACATTCAAGCTGGGATCCACCGTGTCCGACGTGCGCTTCGGCCCCAGGCCTAAATTCACCGTCACGCAAGCTCCCGGCGGCGGCGAACCATACGAAGTCGAGTGCGACGTGCTTCTCGGAGCCGATGGCGTCAAGAGCTCTACCCGCGTCGCCATGCTCAAGGAACTGGGACACTCGGGCGCTGCACGTGACTCGGGCCAGGCCGCCTACCGCATCATGCTCGACCGCTCGCAAATGGAAAACGACCCCGAGCTGCTCAGATTGATCGACTCGGACACGGTGACGCGCTGGATCGGCGAGAAGAAACACATCATCGCATACCCCATTCACAACAAGCAGATTTACAACATCTCGACTGCCCAGCCAGACGTCAATTTTGCCGGCGCGCCGGATGCACAGTATACGACAAAGGGAAGTAAAAAAGCCATGTTGGAGGTCTACGGCGATTTCTGCCCCATGATCCACCGCATGTTGAACCTGGTGCCAGAGGGCGAAGTCGTCGAGTGGAAGCTGAGGGTCCACGACCCATTGGTAACGTGGGTGTACGGTACAGCCGCACTGGTGGGCGACGCATGTCATCCCACTCTTCCGCACATGGCACAAGGAGCTGCGCAGGCCATTGAAGACGGCGCTGTGCTCGGCGTTGTCCTAGCCCCCAAGCGCGTCGGCGACGGCCGGCCAGAAACCATTGAGCGCGCGCTGCGCATGTACGAGAAGCTGAGGAAACCGCGCGCTGAAGCACTGGTCGAGTTGGCGGCCGAAAACGGGCGAGAAATGCATCTGGGTGCCGGCAAGGCCAAGGAGGAGCGCGACAAGATTTTCGCCGCCATGAAGCAGGGCTCCGGCAAGGTCCCGGATCGGTGGGCGGATGCAGACATCCAGGCGCGTGTCTATGGCGTCGATGTTGTTGCCGAGGCCGAGGAGCTGTGTGCAAAGGAGGGTTTTGGTCCAAAACTGTGAGCGTTCCTGTAGTTTTCAAAAAAAAATTGTATCAAGTAGTTTTCTGACAAGTCAGTGTATCTTAGTGGATAAAGTCTCGTTGGAAATTGTCGCATGGGTCTGCACTGAAGACATGTATATTTCGGTACTACTACTAGCACTCCAGTGCACATTCTCAATTCACATGCTCTCCGACATTGCGCCCCTCAACCTGTAGCCCTTCCAGTGCGTAAGAAGAACAGGCAGCAGACTCACGCCGACAATAAGTGCCGTGGCCACGCCCGCGCTCTTCGCAATGCCCACATGCTCAAACATAGCCGGGAACCAAAACGGGCCCAAGAAGCCCCAGATCTGGCGCACAAACGTGATGAATACACCAATACTGCCAGCTTCCTCGGGATAACAGTCCACTGCATACGTGATTAGTACCGTCGTCACAATCTGGTTTCCAGCTGCGCCTATGCCCGCCCCGATGATGGGCGTGACGTTCCACCTGCCGGGGGGAGCTTGCTCTATGCGCACGAGGAAGAGGACCACGCCGCAGATACTCAGCAGGATACCTGCGTATGAGAGCCACAGACGGAACTCTGGCGCGGGGCGCAGCGGATGCATTTTCTTTGCTCGCCAGCGCATCCAGAGGTCGCTCGAGTGGCCGCCGATTTGCTCTCCAATCACTGTTCCGACAATGATGCCCAGGAACTGGAGACCGATCTGCTGGGCATTCAGATGGAACTTCTCCACAAACAGCTGCGGGATCTCGACCGTCATGAGGACCGATGCGAAGAGGAAGATCATTGCGTAGGCGCATGCGGGTATCATGACGCACGGGTGCTTGAAAAGACGGAGCGGAGAAATGAATTCGTAGGCTGTCATGGGCGTCTTGTCGATGCGGCGGAACTTGAGGTACATTTCCTTGTACGCGGCAAAGCCCGCCTGTGCGTGCTGTGCGTTGTCGTGCCGCATGAAGCGCGTTTCCGGGCCAAAGAGCGTGTACAGGATGAGTTGGACGCCGTTGATCATGGCGAGGATCCAGTAGATCCACCGGTATCCGAGGTTGTATGTGACAAAGCCGAAGATGAGGGGCGCCAGAGGGATCCCAAGCGTGATCATGACGGTCCACATGCCCATGTATCTTGCGCGCTCCTTGCGGAAAAACGTCTCGACGACCACAGCGCTGCCGATGGCGTTTGGGGGGCAGATGAAGAAGGCCTGGAAGGCGCGGCAGATGGCCATTGTAGTGTAGGTGTGGCTTTTGGCACAGCCAATGGTGAAGACTAGACTTCCGATCAAGGATATAATGAAGATGGGTCGTCGGCCGTAGCGCGTGGAGAGGGGTCGCCAGAACAACGGGCCGCCGCCCAAGACTGCGATTTGCAGAGAAGTAAGGTAGGATGCTTTTTGGATGCTCACGCCGAGGTCTTCGGATATCACCTCGTATGCTGGGATGATGGCCGAGGCGGGGAATGCACACATCATGGCGTGGAAGGCGACGAAAAGCACATTCATGATTTTCTGCATCTTGTTAGAGAAGAGAAGGAAAAACGAGGCGATGACTGCTTACCTTCCATTGCGGCCAGTTGTATGGATCAGCGGTGCCCATAGTGGGAAGGGGATCAAGATCGATTGTTCCATGGCGCTCGAGCAGATATTGGTGATGTTCCTCGGAAAGGTGAGATGCTTCCTCCTTGTTGAGATACGTGCCATGAGTAGCAGCATGCTCAAGATCGTCATTACGCATTGCTTCGTCAGAGACAAGGTCCTTCTCCTTCGCCACGCTTATCGGATTCGCCATATTGTAGTCTCCAGCTTATGCGTGGGAAAGACAGAAGTAAAGGGAGCAAGAGATAGACTTGGACAGCCGCCCGCTCAGGCCGGTCACTGGTAACCTCATACCTATTTATTCTTCATTCCTCGCTGCCAGTCCCCGAGGATAAAGATTTTTGCGGAGACGCCCAGTGGAGACCCCAGACATAGGACCTATTGGTGGAACTGCAGCCCATGGGGCTCCAAAGCAAGGGTCGCGAGCACTACCGTCATCGATTGTCGTTTCTAGCTTCCACTATCTCACAGATTAGGTGTAGGATGCGGCTCATCCTCTCGGCAACGGCGGGTTCTATGCTTGAAACGATTACCGAAATACTGTTGAACGAGCTAGTGGGACTGCAGACGAATAGTGGATAACGGTACCGGATCACTATGCGAATAGGGAGTAGTTGCCCTCATGGATCCCACTTCTCTGCGGCGGCTAGAGACTGCTCAGTCCCATGTATTCTGGTTTCTCATGGCCTTTGCAGTATGAGAAGAGCATGCTCAAGCTTTACCAAAAAGCTTGGTTGGAGAACGGGACGGTTGCGGCTTGACAAACACCCGTACCCGTGCCTCTTGTGGCGAAAGACATCCAACTATTTTGCCGGCCTGCAGCAGTTGCAAAGTGATTGGTCAGTGTTATCACAGCCTGGCGCCAAAGGAATCTGGAGTGCGACTTGGTGGGGTAAAGAGGAGACTGAAACGATGATCGTTACCAACAACGACAGCGGGTCTGCGGGATTAGTGCGCGGATGTCGTTCCGCTTTCCATTGCTTTTTTTGTGGGCAGCCTGGTGTTCCAGCGAACGGAGTAGTCGTCCAGCCCCAGCATTGATTGCGGGGGAGAAAGGGCGAGTTTGAGAATGGAGAAACGCGCACGCCTGTAGTGATGTTACAGCCACCATTTCATGCATTGTGCAAAAACAAAACTCATCTGTCAATAGCAACAATTTGTTTCTCCACTCTCTAAGCGCCTCCACGGAGCATCCCTGCATTTGCAGCTTGATTACGCATTCCTCCCAGTACCTTGCCGTTACTCCAGGTCCACAAAGACCTCAAAAATATCCCACCAGACGTGTCGCTCATAGCTTCGTGTAGTGTTGGCAGCACATCTCATGTGTGCTCCAGTATAGAAATCAACGCTATCTCCATACCACTGTAGTCCCAGCGCGCCCTCAGTCATGGCCTCGCGCATCTCGCCACAGACCCGGCCTAGCAGCTCATCGTAAAGAAGACGGCGTATGTAGCTAGCCCTCAGTAACTCGATATCGACGCCAAGGACCTTTTGGGTCCCAGCCGCAAGCGTGATATTGCTCCGTCTATGTAGGACTGGGTCTCGTAGAGGAGCTGATTCAGACCATTGCAAAGATGGATCAAGCGAGTAGGGTGTTTTGAGCTTGTTGTGCAGGTTGTATGTGATTTCGACATCTGGTTTTGTGTAGTCTCGGGTATGCTGAGTGCGGACAAGGACGAATGCTGAAGGCATGGTATGCTTGGTGGGTGTTGAATGTGGAGATGGCTACAAGAGTGTATCCGGATATGGGTACTTATAGTCATAGATCAAAAGTTTGTTGGACATATTCATAAGAGAAGCTTGCTGTTTGAACGGCAGAGCAAACCGACTCTCTTTGAACTTGCGTACGGTCCCTGACAGGACATGAGCTTGCTAATGAGATTTGCGAAATGGTACCTAGGTAGTATCTTAGTTTCCACTCTTGCTGGAGTGGCAAGCGATATACAACCGCCAGGAGCTCATTCGTGCTTTGTTTATTGTAGTCCTGCTCGTGATTTTGCTGTGGATGAAGAATGGTGTATTCGCGCACCGTGAGACTCTCGAAAAACATGGAACCTTTGTGAAAGTCGTGGTTTGACAGAAATCCTAGTGGTCCCCGGTAGCTCTTGCCTGTCTGCTCTCAGACGGCAGGCAGCTCCGGTCATGAAATGCATTGTCTCGCCGTCAGCCAATCAGCAATAAGCGCTCTAATGGTCTAGTGGTATGACGTTCGCCTCACACGATGCTTTGTGCGTGCGCGAAAGGTCTCGAGTTCGAGCCTCGATTGGAGTAATGAGTGTGTTTTTGCTGGTTGTGTTGATTCAGAGTATATTTTTGCGAAGGCGAGTTTCCGGAAGCGCTGCCTTTTTTGTCGGTACTGTCGCATCTAGACTCGTAAGCGTTTGGATGTAGTCTGTGCCGAGTCGATTTCCATGGTAGTGAGTGTGTTGATCTGGTGGCAGGAACAAAGTAGGTGCATCGAGCTCTTTTTAAAAGTCCTAGGAAATCAGCGTATCGTGATTGATGCAGATGATCTCGTCACCAGGACAAGACGATTGCTGATAACTGTGGAGGGGTGGGTACTCCAGGGCGAGCACAAGTTGGCAGGTCGAGAGAAAAGTGCACTGTTGATGCCTAGACTGCAGAAACGGCGTTCCGATGACGATGCGAGTCTGAGCATGGCCATGGTGTTGACGTTGCGATCACTCCACACGCGACCACGACCAGCCTGTTCAGGTTGAGATGAAGGCCATGCACGCTGACATCAGCGCCGCTGCGGGGGCCTCGGCAAGCCATGCGGTGGGCGCCGTCACCCCACAGTCGAATCACCACCGTCTTCATCTAGCCACCGTCACCACACACACAGCTAACTCTGCCGGGGCCGACGTCCGGCCCGTTGAAACACGATTGCATCTTGGCCAATGCCGTCCCGCCTGCCGAAACGCTATGCACGCGGCGGCTCTCCAAGTACTTAGACTAACAGCGAAGGGAGCAAGGGCCCCAGGGAGGTCTCGCGATACATGCGCGGCCGGGAGAGAAGGAGAACACGCCCAGCAGCGCCGTACGTCAGCGGTCCCGGCATTGCCAGACATTAGGGCTGCACCGCGAGAAGGAGTCGGATTGGCTGCGTCCGCCATGGCGAGTCTTGTGATTCGTGGCATGATGGTTGTGTGCGTGTGGAGAGACGGCGCTGCACAGCCTGCCCATGCCGGTGACCTGCATTTCCCCGCACCGCCCTACCCTATATACAGACGGTATACGCCGCGCACTTAACGTCTCACCTGCAACACCACCACACAGCAGTCAAACACTATCTTACACACGTCAACCCGCGGCCGACACACGTTCTTCTTGGATCGTCTTGGCTGCCCACTTCACCGCCGCCAACTTGACCACTGCTGCGAGATATAAGTCAAGCGCCATCTACCCCAGACTACGCCCACCACCATTTCACTCGGCATTCGATTCACTCTCGCCACCACAAGACGCCCATCACCAACATGTCTTTTCTCCTCCGCACCACCAACCTGGTCCGCCAGAGGCTCTTCACCACGTCATCACGTGCCCGCACAGCCATCTCGGTGCAAGATGCTGCTGCAGCCCACATGGCAGCCACCCCCGGTGCCAGCGTGGTCCCCCGCCTCGGAAGAGTAGCAAGATGGTGAGCCTTGTTCCCCCATTCATCCACAGCCAGTGCTGACCCGTCCCAGGTACCTCCCTACCATGGCCATGGTAGCCATCGGTATGATCTACCTTCCCAGGGACAAATCATCGCAGCCTCGTCGGCCGCTTTCCCTCGGTGATGCTAATGCTAACATAGGCTTTGGTGTGACCAATGCACTCAACGATGCCAACCGCAGGGTTCACTCTGCTCGGGAGCTCACCCAGGAGCAGAAGAACCAAATGCTCATGGACGCTTATGGCGAGCGCTCCAGCCTGGCTGACATGGAGAGAGCCATGGCAGGCCTTGAGGCCAGAGCCGCTGCCCCCAAGAAGAGCAGGAACCAGATCCTGGAAGAGGCATATGGCGACAAGACCAGCATTGCCGATCTCCAGAGGGCCATGGAGATTTACGAGGTTCAGTGAGCAAAGCAGCGTGAGAGCGTACATACATGTCCGTTGCTAGTGCATGTCCATTGATGTAACATGGCCATGAGCGCGGCCGGGGCGGAGTAAGTCGGGAAACGTCGGGTTAAGTCGCGGGGGGGGGGGGCGCTTACTTGTGGGCGACTAGCGACTTTGGGAACAACAGCAACACGTACGTATGGAAAGTAAAGAAAGAAGGACAGACAAGTACAAGTGGATGGCAACTTGATCGTTTGTTGGCTGATGCTCGTAGTGGTATAGTGTGTACATGTTCGTAGCCCTGATGCCTTGTTTCAGGGTCTCTAACGCCAAGTGCTAAGGAAAAATGCCTGTGTGACGCTATGCTTGATATCCCTCCCTCTCTCTCTCTCATTCTCCCCCCACTTTCCGAGGTACACGAGCCGGGACAGCTTTAGCGCTGTGTAGGCCGTTGCTCGTGGCCTGGTGGCGTGGGCTCCCCGACGTCCAGCGTGCGGGGGTTTCCTTGAGCTCTTCTTTTACGGAGCTGTCCAAGGGTCAACCCTCGCCCCTGTAGCGTGCGTGTCCTTCTCTACACCGCGAAGCTGCTTCATCTCTCTAACGGACATGAACTAAGTAAGAAAAAAAATTACTTGTGCGGAGGACAGGTACTTAGCGCTCGACACCTCCACTTTCCGATTCTTGCTAAGAAATGATAACCAGCAGTAACGTGGGAACTAGGTTTTATACTTCCGAAAACGGGAATTCGAAGTTCCCACTGGTGTATGGATGGATGGATGAATGGGTGTGGGAGTGGTTTTAACATGCGCACGCACTGGATTCCAGAATGCATTACTTAACGTATAGGATAGAAAAGGATTGCACCACATAATAGGGTACATGTTAGTTTCCTTGGTTGCGGGGCTGGACTAATCATGTAGCAACACACTCACTCTCGTGCTTAACTATGTAATTTCCTGTAAATAGAGCTGTAGAATTATTTCATGTTAGATGCCTGGATTATACTAGGGCATACATATTTCTTTTCCATCATATCTTGCCAATATACCCCAACACACACACAGTCTCTGGCTGTTAGTAGCACGTGGATATGAACTGTGAACCATGTACCAGCTCAGCTTAGGTGCACGTGGCTTATGAGTGAGATTTCTCAGACGGCTTCCGCAGACGCTAAAATGAAAGAGCATATCCCTTCTTAGCAAGGGGCGCCACAGCCACTGTAACGGCTATCGTATTGTATTTTGGGATGATTACAAACGCTCGAGTAGCTTGGTTACTGAAAACAGCCTCCAAAGGCGCCTTTCGACTTATCTTGACTAAAAATCGTCAAGTTCTAACTGATTCCGATCTATATTTTATAGTTGCTAGCATTGCCACGTTACATGGGGTAGAGCGCACATCTAGAAGAGCGCTAGCTGCGCTCGAACTACTTAGATAGCCGCTTCTTGTTGCCACAAAACCTGTTTGCTACCTGCGACTTATTGGTGGGAAAAAGACCACAATTGCAACCGCAGTGCAATTATCTGCTGCACAATTTGGATAGGGGGGGGGGAAAGGGTTTGACCTAGGCTCAACTGGGTCTTGCTAAACTTCATAAATCTGACCTGCTATATGTATACCCTCCCCCCCCCCTAACCAAAACAAAATAGAAGTAGTCTGTGCTGAGCATTATTCAACGCATTGCTATATATAACAGACCAGAAATACTGTATTTGAGGTGTTTTTTTTTTGGAAGACTGATTTTGTTACTCTTTATAATAGATACGTTCTAGGAATTTATATCAATTCACAGAATCATAATCCTGTGCCGTGCTGTAGTAGTAGTAGTAGTAGTAGTAGTAGTAGTAGTAGTAGTAGTAGGGTAAGGTACACAGACTCCTGCGACTTGGTTTGTTGAAGGGGTGTATACATACGTATTGGATTATGTCACCTTGCTAGCCACAGCGGCGGCAGCAGCAGCAGCAGCAGCAGCAGCTACTACTCGTGCTCGAGCCACACACCAACCTGATGTGGCGCAAGTCCAATACGCCAACTCTGGTCATATCACACGATTTGACTCGTCGCCGTAACAGCTCATGCCTAGCCCTTCCGTCTCCTGTGGCTCGAGTCCTTTAAACCCCTCTCCGGCTTAGCTGCTGACTCGAAGCAAGTAGTGTTCCGGTCACACTGGGAATAGGGTCAGAGAGGCAAGAGAGGGAGGAGTGTGGCTGGAGCAGAGATTGCGCTGGACAAATGTACATATGGTAGCTAGACATGAAGTAGCGATAATTCGTGACATCCCTCGAACGCGGATTAGAAGAGTGGGGTGCTTTAACTACAGAGTGGTATTACATGACTAGATTTGACAAGCACATACTACTCATTCGTAGATTCACAAATTAGTTGAAACAGAATCAAGTCCGCAAGTTCCATTGCTTGCCGTTACTTACCTACATGCATACTACATACTCTGGCCAGCAGATTCGTGGTATTCCGGGACACCGTGAAAAAAAAAACGCTAAAAGGCTTCGTTTTCCGTCCAAGTTCATCATGTACGTACTATTGTATCAACCGATATAACGTATGTGCGCAGTTTAATGAAGCACTAAGTAGGATACATTCTAGTACATTTGGCACTAGCAAAATAGAGTTTTCATTTTTTCTTTTCTTTTCGGATTTCTGCGTCGTACCACTGCACATCCATGTATGTATGTATGTCGTTATGTCTGTGCTACCCGCGGGGTGACCCTGTCTTCCCCTATTTCCAGCTATCTATCATCTGTGCAGAGACACAAGTTCTAGTCGCTAAGAAAGAAAGAGAGAAAAACAGGAAATGAACAAACCGAGTTGCATCCGATGCGGCTCCTAGAATCCTATAAATACTGTCTGTGTCACACTCTCTCTCCTGTGCATCTTTACTCGTCCGACAACAAATACAATCAATCATCACTGTTGCCATCTCACACTTTCTTTACTACTAAGAACCATGAAGCTCATTCAAGCCCTCTGCGCGATAACACTGGCACTTTGTGTCAGCGCTGCCCCCACAAGCAGCACACCAGTGGCCGCTGCTGCTGTGCCCGCAGCGCTGCACAAGCGGGGAAACGTGGCATGTGTTGAAATCTTGTACTGCCCCCCTCGCACAACTGAGCACTAACATGTAATTTTTTTTTTGTTTTTGCCTGTCTAGTGTGGATACAACGTGCCATGTAACTGCGATTGCGTGTGGATTCCTGCTTTGTCCATGACGGGATGTCCGAACACAGAGGCTTGCACTGAGTGATGGCACAGATAAAACAGGAGAGGCATACTGGGTTTGAGCATGTCTGTGTTCGAATCTACGAGTAAACTATACGCGGGGTTAGAAGAATCAGATAGAGACAAGACAATATGGCAGAAGTAACTCTGATTTTTTATATTATTATTATTAAGATAAACAGATAATCAACACCCTAATCCTCCCTATCCGTCTTGACAAAACTCCAAAGCTCCCTCCAAAAACCCCGTCCCATCCTCTCAGGCCGCCTCTCGAGAATCTGCCTGATGCGCGCTCGTTCGGTGCGTCTCGCCGCCTCTGCTTCAACTTCTTCTTGCACCTCTGTATTCATATTGACACTGACATGCCAGGTTTCGTCTTTGAACGGGTCGTCAAACATGTGGTTGGTGGGTGACAACGACGACGAAGCTCCCGCGGCAAATCCGGCATCCATTTCGTACGAGTCGAAGCGAGGGCGGGGAATGGGCGGAGGCACTGAGTCGGGACCCTCGAGCTCGATGGAAGAGAGGTCCTGTAGCACGTAGTCTTCGACTGTGAGATTGCGTATGTCGACGGCTGTGGTACGCGGGTAAATGAACTTGTAGGTAAGATAGAGGGCAGCAAAGAGCACGGGGCCAATGTATGCGCCGAGCACGTCAAATGCGAGGCTTATGGTTGGCTTGAGGTTTCCCGTGGACGTGAGGCTGTTTTTTGTGACGAGGATGACGAAAGGCGGGATACCCGACCAGATGAGTACAAAGGCGCTGCCGATGATGCCAATGTATGCGGGGAGGGGCTGCCAGCGTGACTTGAAGAGCCGTGTCTTGTACAGCGGGTGGTTTCGCCCAAAGATTTTGCGCTTGGCGAGGCGGTCGAGCCCGGCTTTGAAGCGCAGGAAAGTGAGGCAGAGACAGAGGTTGATGCAGGTTGCTGTGCCCGTGTAGAGCTCAGACAGCGTGATGCGTGGCTGCGAGCCAGACTTGTCGGCCAAGCCGATGAGTGACAGAAAACCAAGGGCTGAGCATAGCAGAATGGCTGCTAGTGGCGTGTGCCCATTGTTGGTTCGACCAAAGATGTTGGCGATTCTTCTCGGGAGGTATTGCTGAGATAACATGAAGACACCTCGTGAAGCCGCATAAAGGTCGGTATTTGCGGTCGTGTAGGCCGATATTATAAAGAACGCATTGAGAACTCTCGGTAACGCCGTGAGTGACGACTCTTCGGCCGCTATGACGAAAGGTGATCTTGTAGGGCCATTACCTCTTGCCCATATTTTGGAGAGGTGAGGATTTGCATAGTTGACAGTGGATCCAGCAGCAAGCATGGCGAATGGATAGATACTGAGCGGCACAATGTATACAAAAGACATGGTGACGGGTACGTCTTTCCAGGGGTTCTTTGCCTCGCCAGCAGTCATTGCAACAAGATCTGTCCCGAAGCAAGAGAACATGGCAAGTGTGATTGAAGTGCTGTGCTGATGGTAAGCTTGGCTATCCCAGCGTATGTCACAGTACTCACATGAATGCAAACAAGACACCCCCCGGCCCTGAGATACCAAAAGCATCATCAGAGACGCCGGTGAGCGTAAGCGGGTCGGCACGCGTGTTGGTATGCCCAATCGGTTTCCAATCGGGAGTAAATGCATGTGTCGTATAGTCTACCGTAAAATTAGCGCCAATTCGGTAACCGAGAGAGATCAACTTGCTCCCGTAATACTTTCCCTCCCTTGGACCGCCGCCTAGACAATATCAGCAAAATACTCGCAAATTCATGTCACTGCAACCATACCTCCAAGGTTGAGCACCACCATCATCACGCAGACAAGCACTAGCAAGCTGAGCTTGAACCACATTACCACCTAAAATATCTGTCAGATAACTTTGACAAACGGTTCAACGCAACATACTCGTTCAATCTTGCCGTAAAACTGCAGGTATGTAAGCTTCAAGTCCATCATATGCAGTGCTGACTGACCTTGACACCGAGACAATGCGAAAAAGTAGTCAGAGCAATAAAGGCAATATTGATGGCTGTCTCTGCGCCAGTGGAATGAGGCTCTGGGTTAGACTTCAGCAGAGCAGTCAGTTCAGCTGAGTGCGCTGTCAGTGTAGCCATGGCGAAAATCTTGCCTAGCCTTTCTCTCTGTCAGCTGTATGTCTCAGTTCCTGACACTAGCAACGTACCCATACATGGCTGCAACTGCAAAGCCACTGGCCGGGTCCAGAAAGGTATGGGGCAGATCGATGAGGGCTCCGGTGAGTGGCCGGCATGTCACCATCTCAGTAAGGGTGTACATGACACAGGCAACAATGCCTCCGGCCACGACATAGCTGATGGTAGCCCCGAGTGATCCAGTCGTTGCAATCAGAGCACCCGAAGTGATGAAGATGCCTCCACCGACGCAGCCCGAAATACCAATACCTACACTGTTACAAAGTGTATTCGCCTGTACGGACTCTGGGAAACTTACCCGCGAGCTGAGGTCTGCTGAGGACACGATCGAGGTGCTCAGAGTGCGTTACATAGTATGGCGATCGATCCAGTGGACGGTATTCCTCATCCATGCTGGCCAGCAAGTCCAGGCAACGGCAAGGCTGTAACTTTAACCAGGTGGGCCGTAGAAGTACGCCTTAGAGGTACGCCTAATAGAGAATGATTCAAGTATTCGTATCAGCACAGCATGCGGCGGCGATGCAAAGACAACGCTTTGACATGGTTTGCGTGCTTCCGTCAGCCTGGTCTCCGGGCATCTTGAACTTGATGTACTTACGCCTGGCACCCTGTTCCCGTACCAAGGCAACCGTACACAATTACCCCTCTTATCATCCCGTGTTTCCGTGGGCGAAAGTTTCAATAAACAGCGACACCTAGGCTGAAAGACGGCATGTTGGCGCGCGACTTGGCTTCATCATGATTGGCCGATGGCATGGGATTCCTGCGCAACACCCTGGAGATTACACCTCGTTGTACACGTGAAATGGCTCAATGACACTAAAAACGCCACGGCCAAAGGCGACTGGCCTAACCTTGCCGTGGCTATCACAGCCTCGCTTCTTGCAGCCTACCGGTGTACGCTTCTGGCTACGCAGTACAGGGAGGCACCGTTTAAAATTGCTTATTGGGTCTTTTGTATGTGTCGAAGCCATCTTCCTGGAGCCGAATACGGGGTCCTTGATATGTCGGGATCTGGGGGCGGAAACGCATGCGTGATGCTATCAGGCTCTAGTCATCACAACTGATAACGGCTGCCGTGTCTGAGAAAAGGCGCGGTCTGGCCGCCCATTCGAGGCGTTCGCATTCTCATCGGTCTACAAACAAGGTTTCACCATGGTTCGTGTGTCGACCTTTCTACGACTCCACCCTGCTCTCGTGGTATTCGAGATTCCTGCTCGTCTATGATGTCCATATCAAGCAGTTCTTCGCACCCCTCAGCGCGTCGTTCTTCTTTAGCAGTCGACCGTTTCCAGGTATTCTCAGCCTCGTTTGGTTCGCATTCCGAAACCCACTTGCAGCGATCAGGACAAAAGTTCTTCTCCAAGCCATATGATGTTGCGACCTCGGTCTCGCCATGCGGCTGGATTGCTGTGTGTTCGCCAAAGCAGATACGGCTATACGACGTAAAGAACGAGAACCAGACTCGAGACATTCCGCTCAAAGCCGAGCTGAGCATTCCGACGCTTCACAAGGATGAGAAGATACGGGGTATCGCGTTGTCAGAAGATCTGCTTGCCGTAATTACCCATAGGCGGCTATTGGTCTATGACGAGTATCGCAGGAATGGCGGCATGCCCATATTGGTGAAGGAGCAGCGAATTGATCAAAACGAGTGCTGGATCCCGCGGTCTGTGTCGATATCCCAAGTTGGCGCGCCGTCTATCGAGACGACGGCGACCGCGAAGGTAGCAGTGGGTGGGGAAGGGACAAGCGGGGTCAAGGTCTTCAGGTACATTTATACACAAGGCTGGAATGGCGAAAGCCACTGCACGACATTGACCTGCCCGCAGAACAACGGGGCTATCAAGATTGTAGGGTTTTCACCTGGTCGAAGCGACATCCTGTATGGTCCCATGGCCTTTGCTGTATCGACAGGAAACCACTTGTACTGCTGGAACATTAGTAAACACTCGAGCCCCACGTCGACCCAGCGCCTCGACCCAATCTGGCACATTGACTGTAACTCGAGCAGCAGCGAACGCGTAAGGATTCTTGGCGAGAGTACGTACAGGGCTGACTTGATATAGGCTTTTCGCGACGAGATCTCGACAGCGACTTTGATAGTGTCCCCAACCGGAAGACCTTATATCCTCTGTACAGTAGACCACAAGCCCGGATCGTGTCTTCCGCCAACCTTTATTGTACCGATTGATACGTTTGAAACAAATCCACAAACTCTTCGTCAAATGATCAAGCCGATACCTGACAGCGTAGTGGGATCGAGCGTCCTTGCTGGGACAGCATCCTGCAACGGTCGTTTTACAGCGGTGGTCGAGAGAGGTCCGGGTGGAGTCGAGATGAAGTTGTTAACTCTTCGTGGAGCGCCCACAGGTGGTTTGACAACGTCAGCTACTAGTGTACTGTCATGGGCGGTCAAGCTACGGGCCAACAGTGCCAATGCCTCGACGATATCAATCTCCATTGAGGAACAAAACGCGGCGCTTGGAATCATTGCGGTCGATGGAAATGGACATGTTGTTTGTTCGAGGATCAGCGTACCGGAAATGCTGCAAAACCGACTGCAGTATCTCGCTCCACCGTCCAACCATGTGGCTCCTTTTGAGCTTGCGGTTCCGGATGAGATGGCAGATCGCATGGATATTGTTCCGGGCTGAGCTGTGTTCCAGAAACATAGTACAGTATGGTAGGATGGAGGGAGCCATCGATGCGCGTTACATCTCCCACTGGTGCACTCTACGACACGTCGCTGGCCTGAAAGAACAACATACCAACATGCAGTTTCTCTAGAACGACGAGGCTGCAGCTATCAGCGATTTATCATCCTGTTTGATATGCGAACTCACCTTTGATGCCAGACTGGGCACGGAGATGTCAATGGAACAGCCACGACAGGACCTGATTCGCTTTGGCACCAGAGCTCGTACCTTCCCAATCCAGAAGTTGGCAGTTACTCCATGTGCAAGGCAACCACCAGCTACGCACGTGTGTTCAAGACAACCAAGGAAGGAGCAATGGCGAAAGCGCCCTCGCCCGTCTTTCAACATACACCCGCCAGCACGCAATCACCGGACACCACCGAGATATACATTCCTACTTAGTCTTTCTACCTAACAACGTCCTTGTTTGAAATTGTTATCCGAATACCTTCCGTCTGCCAGAAAACAATCTCACCTAGCTATCTGCAAACCAGCGCCTCCCACCAGACCGCACTTCTCCACCAGCCTGTCAGCCATGTTCAACAAGACAAGCGCCCTCCTGCTCTTGACACTCTTCTCGACACAGATATCCAGCGCGCCCACCCCCCAGCAAGACCCAGCGTCCGCCTTCCTCCCCATCCAATACATCTGCCACCATGTGTACCCGTCAGACCTCACAATCGTCAACTCGCGGTACCCCTCACCGGGCAGCGAGCGCCTACACGGCAGCACAAGCATGTTCATGCTGCGACGACAGCGGGCCAACGAGGGCGAAATCGCCACGCGTGTGCAGTTTACAGGGCTGCCGCTCATCCTGTCCAACTACACGTGTCGTCTGGAATTCGTGCTTCCGCGCGAGGATTTGCAGCGCATTGCGGGCGCGAACCCCAGTTTCCACGTGTACCAGGTTACGCGCGAGGCGGGCGCTGTGGCGACGTGGGAGACGTACGAGGGGAATGGGAATGCGTCGTTGTTTGGGACGGTGAATGGCGAGGAGGAGGCTCTGAGGCGGACAAAGAGTGTCAGTGGGGTGGCGGCGGTGAAAGAGACGGCGTGTAATGAGACGCTGACGTTCCAGATGGGGCTGATGTACGATGGTGAGTATACGCCAAATTACTGGCAGTTTTTGAATGTTGGGCCGCCGGCGTATCCTGTGCAGGGGTTCAGGATAGCGTATGGCTGCTGAGGGAGCTGAGATTGCTTAGGAGAGTTGGTGCGGGCTGCTGTTACTAGTCTTTGTTCCCTAGATTTCCGGGTTGATACATCCTACTCTTGAGTTGTGAACCCATGTGCCTGCAAGCTTTCATTTGCTATGTACATGATACTTGTAGTTAATGAGATTCGTGTGAGCTTTCGTCATATCTTTCGTACAATGAAATACAGTAATGATACACTTTGCTTCGTCTTCGCAGCCACCTCCTCAAGCCTTTGCAGTCTCGGTGGCCATTAACCTGCTTGGAGACTTGACAAGACCGGCTTCGTCTCCAGGGTCGCCGCGGAACTTCCACTGGCCGTTAGCTACATCGTCGTCGGTGGCATTGTCCAGCCGCTTCAGCTCTCTCCTCATGTATCCCACAATCTGAGCCAGCTTCTCAAAATCAACGTCCTCCTTTGCGCCGAGAAGGTTTCTCCAAATGGCAGCTGCAAGCATGGCGTCGCCCTTGACGAGCCCCTCGTCATACGACAGCAGCACTGCGCGCCACTGCGAGAACATGTCCTTGAGGTGCTTCTGGCGCAGCGAGTTGGCATTGAACTTGTGCCATATGACCAGGCGGTCTTCGGCGGCGTAGAAGGCGTGGTTGGTGATGTGCTGGATCCAGACCGGAGCGTGAGTTTGGGGAAACATGCGGAAGCGGACTTGCAGCATGTACATGTGGAGGAAGGTGATTTGCGCCCAGTTGGAGAAGGTCGGTTTTAGTCCGAGGGCTGTGTCCGTGGTGAGCCAAGGCCTGTCTGCCGTCATGCTTTAGACATACTGTCATACCACCATCCCTCGCCTTCGCCCAGGTGCACGCCGTCGTCGTCGACGGGAATCTCGCCGCGCTTCACCAAGGCCTGCGGTATCTTGTACTCGCCAGGCCTGGTGCATTCCTTGATCAGGTCTCTTGTTGCGCCGTATGCGACATAGGTTTCGGTCATCAATGGCGCCTTCTCACGGAGCCTCTGGGCGAGCCCCGTCACACCGGATGCCACGCCGGGATGCGGCTTCTTGATTGCCTCGGGCCTCACATCTGCTGACTGTCTGAGGGACGCGTGATAGCAGGTTGGGGTGGTGGTGGAAAATGACCGTTGTGCTTGGCGAAGAGAAGATAATTTATTTGTTGGCTACACCAGTTATCAGCAACAGTGAGCAGCACGGGGACGGGGCGGTGGCTGTGGCTGTGTACCTGTAGAAGCGGCTTGGGGGACCTGAGTAGCGCCCTGGAGCAGGCTGAGCAGGTGTAGCTGGACGAAGCCATGGCGGGGGGTGTTTGTGGCAAGTAAAAAAAAATAGCAGCGTCTGGTTGGAGTTGAGAAAGTCGCGAGTCGCGCCGGGCACTGGATCGATGACGGCACGACCCTGGCCAGACATTCGGCCCCAATGAGCGCCAGACGTAAGTATACTAACACTCTGGAATCATAATTGACCCCAGCTGTAACACCGGGCGTGACAGTAGCAGTGGCAGCAGATCAGCCCAAATCACCCCATCCTTGCCGGGCCTGAGGATACACAACTGTGCGCCTCCAATGGCATCCGCGGCATGTGCCCTTCTGTGCCGAAGCCGGCTTCGCCCAACCCCAGACATGGCATTACCCCAGCATCGGCTTGCGGCCCCCTAACGCGCTTGGTATGCAGTGCCCAGCCACGGGGAATAGCCTGACATTGTATTGCGTCGCTGTGCGAGGCGTCGCCAGCCCGACCCTCTTCCGCCAGCTGCTGCCGCTGCTTTATTACTATACAGCGCCTCTCGCTCACGCTCTCTCCCGTCGCCCCATCGCCCCAGCCCGCCTGCAGACTCACGACACAGGCGCTCCGCCATGGTATCCATGCTGCCAGAGGGGCCTTTCGCCGGCAGACGCGCCAACCGCCGAGACAATCCCATCTACATGCACCTGGCCGGCGCGCAATCCTCCTACACCGTAGGCGATCACGTGAGAGGCGTCCTCCTCGTCGCGCCGGTGCGATGCGCGCGCATCGACATGGCTCTGAGGGCCTTTTCAGTCGCCCCAAACTACGCAGGCAAAGCGGTGCCCATCGAGTTCTATCGCGAATCGCAGACTCTGTTCGACTCCGAAACCGGCGACGAACTTGACCTTCTGCCCAAGAGCACAGCAAACCCTGGAAAGACGGAGATCCCCTTCTCCTTCGCCTTTGCCCAGTATGCGAACCTACCGCCGCCCCCAGAGAGGGACTGGTTCTGGACCGACGACTCGTACAACCACCCACGATTCCAGCACTCTCCCGGGTTCCCACTGCCCCCGAGCTTCTCGGCGCCCGTCTCTGCCGAGATACACATCGTATACCAGCTCGAGGTGACCATGGACCATCTCACCCCCGGCACGCTGCCAGTGAGGATACGCCAAGAACTCAAGTACGTGCCACCACCGCCCGACTTCCAGCCTGCACTCCTCCTGCCAGACCTCAACTTTGGTATCAAGCTGCCCAAACACTGCAGCCACCAAAAGTTCATTCGCACGCGCAAGCTGTATGAGGACTATGACGAGAGGGCCGGCAAGCTCATGAAGATCAAGGACAAGCTGGCCGACAAGGAACTGCTCTTTGGCTTCCAGAGCTTGGCTGAGATACCCTACGTCAAGTTTAGTCTGTATGCGACTCCAGCTAGGGTCTTGGTGATTGGCTGCCAAGTCCCCGCCATAATTACCCTCAAACATCTTCAGCGCTCCGAGTCGCTCGTGAACCCGCCTGATGTGTTTATACGCCGTGTAAAGGTCCAGCTCAATGCCGCCTTCAACATGCTCACGCCCGGTGACCCGACGGGCCGTCACTGCAAGAAACAAGTCGTCTCCACCGAACGCGGTCAAATACTGCTTCTCGACAAGAAATACGAAAAAGGCAATGGGGAGCCGCTACATGACGGACTAGCTCTCTTAGACATTGCAGACGTCAAGCTCACCGACCACGATTTCATCCCAAGCTTCACATCCTACGGTCTGAACCTGGAGTACGAGCTGCAAATCGAGATCACTGGCAAGTGTGCGGACCGGGAATGGAATAGTATCGTATGTACCCAACCGGTTCAGCTTGTCACAGCGTCGCAGGCGCCCATTCCACTAGTAGTTGGAGATGGCGATATACCATATGGTCTCGAGCTAAGGCCAATGTACCACGAGGTAGATCCCTTGGCACAGCTGGACAGCCTTGGTGTGAGCCGCGAGGCTCAGCAGCTCAGAGACAGTGCGCTGGCATATGAGCTTCACGCAAGACACATGGCACCAACAACGGCAGACAATCTACCCCCTCCAGAATATACGGCCTAGGAAAGCATTCGTATCTTGCAATCCTATGTGGCAGTAGTATGACGGGCCAAGGTATGTCGGTCACTCCCACTCTTGCATGGAACACAGCAAGTATACAGAAAGGACCATGTTATATGACGCAAACGGACCTGACGCCCACTTATCGACCTGATATTCCCCATTAGGATCCTGGTTCTTCATATCGTTCATTGAAGCGCAATCCTTTCCTTGGTCCAGTACAAACATAGAGAGCAACTCTTGACTCCTGGCGAGCATGAGTTTGCGTCTCCTGCAAGTATTGCAACCTTTGTTAGACTGCTATGAAGATGCGCAGCACGAACTCCCTTCACGTAGCGTTCAAGTTGATCAGTAGGCAAGTGTCCACACATGCTGGGGAGACGGGTGTTGTGTCAAAGTTGACCCATGGGCAGTGGCGAATGCTTGATGAAGATGGTGTGATGATAATCTCGCGTCTAGTCTTCGTTTCTTATTCACCTGTTCCTAGGATGCGCACACGTAGTTTAGTCGGAAGGCATTGCTGAGGTAGATTGGAATACCGGCTCAGAGGGAGCGAGGATGGGGCGAAATATATATGAGAAATGGAGGGATTCGAGAAGTAGTTGAAAATGAAGCAAGACGAGGTAAGATGATCATGTATGGCGAGAGAAAGAATGAGAGCAATTTCAACATTGTCAAACTTTTTTTGTTGTGTCTTCTCTCCAGTGAAATAACAAGACCCTAAAGTCTAAACATGCGCCAGATTGGTACAGCAAATTTTTACCCTTTCCATGCAAGACTCATGCACAAGGCTGACCGTGATAACGTGCAGGGTCAGTAAGCTGGGCAGATCAGTAAGCTGGGCACCCCACCAAACTTGACGCGACGCTCTACACAACCACCACCATGCCGCGACAACAACGTTCTATACATACTTCTCGTGAAGGCAGAATAAGCCTTGCTATCGCGTCTTATTGTAATAATCCAAAACAATCTATCTGTGCTCTTGCAAAAGCATATGATGTGCCACAATCAACACTACATACTCGCGTTCATAGTACTCAGCCACGACTAGAGCTACGGTCTGTTAACCGTAAGCTATCGTCCATTGAAGAGCAGTCCCTTGTGCAGTGGATCCTAGACCTTGACCGTCGTGGTTTTCCACCCCATATTATCGACGTACGACGGATGGCAGACGCGTTACTCGCCGCGCGTGGCCAAGATCCACCTCCACAACCTGTAGGCAAGAAATGGGTGTCGCGCTTTATCCAGAGCCAGCTAGAGCTTCAGACGAAGTGGAGTAGAAGGCTTAACAGCCAGCGCGCCCAGTACAAAGATCCTGCTACAATCGTAGCGTGGTTTAAGTTGGTAGAGGAGACGCGCCAGACGTACGG